AATCTTGTTTTAATCCTGTCTCAAATAAATCATGTAAAATATTAACCTAATATAAGATTGGACTTCTCAAAGTAAAATTATGCCATGCTGTGGTCCTTCGCGTTACACTTTTAACTATTTAAAGGGTACTTGTATGGTAAGTTTATTATGTGTTTGGCCCTCACTGGAGATGTGCTGAAAGTGCCTGGCCCATGGTAGACAATCAAGAAATGGTTGCTGAATGAATGCGTGGGAAGGTGGTGTCCTGGAGTGGCAGTATGTCTTATTGTACAATATAAAAAATTTTAAATCAGTAGAGAAAAACATATACAAAAGAAGGCATGTACCCATCACCCAGCTTGAACAATTATCGACTCATGGCCAATCTTATTTCAACCATACTCCCCATACTTTTCCCTTCCCATATTATTTTGAAGCAAATTTCAGGTATATCAATTTTTTGATAAATATTTCAATATCTATCTCTAAAATATTAGAGCTCTTTTCTTTAAACATTACCACAGACCCTTATCATACCTAAAGTATTAAAATAATCCCTTAATACCACCAAGTATCCTGTCAGTGTTCGAATTTTTAATTATTTCATAAATGTCATTTTCCCCCACATATTTTCATTTGAATCAGGACTCAAAAAGATGTGCATAATGTGATTATTTTATTTATTTCTTAAATATTTTTTAATCTTTAGTTTTTCCCATCCTCTCTTTATTTCCCCCCTTGTAATTTATTTCTTAAAGAAACTGGGTTGTGTGTTACAGCGTTTCCCACAGCCTGGAGTTTGCTGATTGTATCCTAATAGTGTCACTTAAACTTCACTTATGCTCCTCTGTCTCCTGTATTTCCTGTAAACTGGTAGTTGGAGCTAAAGGCTTCATCAGATTCAGATTCAATTTTCTTCTTGGCAAGTTCCAAAAAGAAGGTGGTGATCAAATCAGCAAGACAGTATTATTGGCTTTTTGCTTAGTGCCTTGCATATTGACTTAGCTAGCATTTGTTGAATATTTTTATGTGCCTAGGAATGAACTTATGTTATATAGGTATTATGTCATTTAATCATATTTAAGCCTCATCACGTATTATGTATCTATTTCTTTCTGATGACCAGACCTCTAATTAGGGCATTAATTAAATGTCTTTCAAACAAACCCCTTGGTATATACTCCCATTGTCATTTATGTGATTTTAATTTGGAATTGTCTGAATTTTCTGTTTACTGGATTCATTTAGAGTATACAAAATACCTTGCATTAAAATGCATTTTTTTTGTATCTTAATAAAATTAAAATAATAAAGCTTATATCCCTATTATTTAACTGTGAATTTGTTGTACTTAAGCTTTTTGGTAATGGGATTCACCATCTGTTAACCTAACAAAGACTGATATCTAAACCATAAATAGGGCCAACTGAATTCAGTATTTCCTGAGTCTCTTTTTCCTTTGCACTCATTGTCTTCTGCAGGTGCACTTTTATTTCTCTTTCATCTCGTTCTGCTTTCATTGTATGCTCACAGTACTCACAGTATCCTACTGTTGCCCAGTGTGAGAAACTGGCTTGTGATTTTAAAAGAAAAACTAGCTTTTGTTGTTTGTTTACATATCTTTAATTTATTCTGCTCAATTCTCTCCATAGTCCTAAATTCTACTGTTTATAAAACCAGACCATTGCAGCTCCAGACTCAAAAAAGAAATGTCAAATTATCTTGACCAACTGACACTTGAAGATTAAACTGTTTGATGTGTGGTTTTGGTGATCCCAAGAAAGAATATACTTGTCAAAAAAGACTCCTTGTCATTAACTGGGCCCAAATTTATAATCGGAGTCTAGCACCCATTGTTTATAGAGGCCTCTTACGCATATGAGGGAAAAGCCTCAGACTGAGCTGCTAGCCTCTTGCACTGAGTTTCTGCTGCATGAGCTGTACCTTATAAAGAAGTTCCTGGAATCGTATTTCAACCAACAGGCTGAGACCTGCCACATCCAATTGGAGCTGCACAGCTGTATCTTCATTTGCATCTTTACTGACCAATCAGAGCAGTTTCATACTAACCAATCAGGACTTAAGATTCCAAGCAATCAGAACAGTACTATTTGTACCAATCAAGCTACACATTTAGATTTCTTTTTTTGTGTGTGTGTGCATTTTTTTTAATTAAATATTGTTCAGATTATTACACTTGTTCCTCTTTTTTCCCCCCATAACTCCCCTCCACCCAGTTCCCACCCCACCCTCCGCCCTCACTCCCCACCTACTGTCCTCATCCATAGGTGCGCGATTATTGTCCAATCTCTTCCCTCACCCCCACACTCCTTTCCCCCCAAGAATAGCCAGTCCATTCCCTTTCTATGTCCCTGATTCTATTACAATCACCAGTTCATCCTGTTCATCAGATTATTTATTCCCTTGATT